TTTAGTGTCCATTTCTCATCAAAGTGGCCTGTGACTTGTAGTTTAATTGGCAATACTGAAAAATATAGAAACCAGACTTGTTTATCAAATCTTCTCGTAATTGGTTTCATTTTAAACCATAATTTAAAATTAATTATTATTTCTCAAAGTGGGTATTTTGTAGTAAATATTAAAAATGAATTAAAAAAATTGATAATAGGGCTTTTTTGGCAACATTTTGGTTGTATTTAAATTTTCAAAAAACGTTTGACCAAAATTTTTTGCTAAAATCATGAAAGATTTTTGAATCGATTTTTAATTCAAGTGAGCTATGATTTTGAAGTTAAGTTGGCAATATTAATGACCTGACGTGACAAATTCCTATTTCAACATTATTCAATGTTGCCAACTTAATTTAACTCAGATATTTAATTGAATGCACGATATTAACATTGATCAAAGTGGCCCGAAACCTTAAAATTATGTTGGCAACATTAAAAAATACACAATCAACTGTCAATTTTTCGAAATTTGAAACAAAAATGACCAAAATCTCTTACATTGTCTCAATTTACTCAGCAAACTTAATTTACAAGTCACTAAAAATACCTAAAATGAGAAATAAAATCCCCTGTCTCTATATGACTCAATGTTGCCAACTTAATCCCAAAATCGCAGGCCACAGACGTTGAAATTAATAAATTGGCATAGAATAAATTGAGTTGGCAACTTTGAATAATAAACATTGACTCTGCTTTATTCAATGTTGCCAATTTAATGTTGCCACTAATAAAAAAATTATGATATTTTTAAGGTGCATTTTTGATCAAATTGGCCTGTAACTTTAAAATTTAATTGGCAACAATGAGAAACAATGACAATGGTACTAAATTTCATAATTTGGTTTTATTAAAAAAAAATTTTTCTCCTCATTTCTTGAGATAAAAAACAACATAAATCTAATTTTCTTTTAAAATAGATAAAATTCTTCTATTTTAACTTAATTTTTAAGCCATAGCAGACTAAAATGACAAGTCTCATATCTTTTGTCTCTGTTTGTTTCAATATTGCCAACTAAATGCCAACAAAAACACAGGTCACTTTGACCGCAAAGAGAAAAAATAATTAAAATAGAATAAATTATTAAGTTGGCAATTTTGTATTCATTATTCATTATTATTACTTTAAAGAGACAGAAAATATGAAAATTGACTCTATATTGTTTAATGTTGCCAACTCAATTTAGCAACTACAAACCACTTTGATAAGAAAATTAATTGGCAACACTGAAAAACATAAAGGCAAGAATAGGGGACCACTTGTTAATTATTGTCTTTTTTCTAAAATTCTCTCAAAATAATTGACAACTAAACATGTCTCATATCTTCTGTTTCTATATATTTCAATATTGCCAACTATAAATTTCAAAACCGGTATGTATGTAGGTAGTCGTTTTACAAAATATGTATTTCTAAATTTGAACTCCCTACAAATCGATTTTTAAGTTAAGTTGGCAATATTAAATACCTGACGTGGCAAGTTCCTATTTCAACATTATTCAATGTTGCCAACTTAATTTAACTCAGATATTTAATCTAATTTCCTTTTAAAATAGATAAAATTCTTCTATTTTAACTTATCCATTTCAATATTGCCAACTATAAATTTCAAAATAGGTATGTATGTAGGTAGTCGTTTTCGAATCACCCTGTATACAAAAAGTAATAAAAATACAGTAAAATTTGTTACTAGAAAACAAGAAAAAAGTCAAAATAAAATAAAACAATGGTTTTTTAATGAATTATCATTCTTGGGGGGTGTGGGGGTTGTTCCTTCTCCATCTCTGTCATCAATTTTTCGCAACATTGTTCCCAGCAAGCGTGTGATTGTAATGCAATTATATCGTTGTTTACATGATTGATAATCGCATAATTCGGGGGTGATAAGTAAAGCCACGTGTCTGGTGGCAGTCCTCGGAGTGTACAATTGCCCCCTTGAGACCACCACCCCCAGTGCGAAATCTCCAAAATTCCAAATTCCCCTATTTATCCAGGCAATAACCCTCGCACACCCTTGACAAGTTTTATCAAAATATTGCCCCGAATTCTTGCACAATTGATGATTTCTTCCAGAAAAATTAAGGATATCCAAGTCTGGTGTTGCACCTCTTCGAGTGAAGATGCCATGACGAGCAACGGCGAGAGCCGGGAGGTTCTTCAAATAATCACTTCTTGCAATAACGTCGCTCCACGCAAAAGGTAAAATAAAATGTGATATACAGGGTGTGCCAGAACTCGCGCCCCCAGAGAAAGACTAATGTGTCCTCTTTTTTGTTCCGTTAACAATTTTTACATAATTTTTGAATGACGTTATTTGCAAAATCATCAAAAAGGGTTTTTTTTTACAGAAAAAAGTAAAATAAAATATGATTATAAAATAAAATTTAGTTCAACTCAAAATTTGTGGTTCAAACAATTCTAAACAATTTAAAAAAATAGAAACTTTCGAGTTTTAAATTAATAATATAATTCTCGACAAGTAAATTTTTCCCAGTTTTATACAGGGTGTTAAAAAGATTGTAAAATATTTCAGGAAGGACCAAAACATACGAAAAAGTTTCGGAGATATCGAAAATTATTTGTTTTATGAAAAAAGTCAGGATTCTTTTATTTGTAATCTTCATCAAAAAACAGTTTTTTTCATAGAAAAAAGTAAAAAATGTGATAAAAACAGACCAACTTGGTTCAACTAAAAATTTGTGATTAAAAATATAACATTCTCGCCAAGTAATTTCTTTCCAGTTTAATAACTGAATTAATAAACAGTTTACAAAATTTTATTGAATCAAATATATTTTTGTCACAATCGGATCACAAAATTGTATTTTTTGGAATTCCAAACTGAAAAAAAATTGCAAATATAAAAATTACCCCAACAAATCCTGTTTTATTATTATAACGATATAGTTTATAAAGAAATAAAAATTATTTTTCCTATGACTGGTAAAAAGTAAGTTTTTCCACCCTAATTTCAGAAAGGAAAGTGGCCAATTAGCTCTTTGGAAGATAGATACACTTTCCTCCCTTGTAATACTAATAACTCAAATTATTTAAATTATTAATTTGTCCTCTTCATATTTTTTATAATTTTTTTGTTCCGTTAACAATTTTTACATAATTTTGGAATTAATTTATTTGCAAAAATGAAATCGAAATTATTTTCGGCATTTTTTGTTTTTAATTTTCTAATTAAATAAAAAAATTGAACATATATTGTAGTTTTTAATTTTTCTTGAATTTTTCATCAAAAATCAGTTTCTTTTTTAATAGTATTGAAAAATTCTTCATTAGTTCTAAGAGCACAATAAATGATAAAAACCGACTAAAAATTTATGGATGTCACACTTAATTGTACCGGGTGACTATTAATGTTTGTGACAAAAAATCGATTGGCAACACTGAATTATTGGGAATCCTTCTAAAAACTTAGTGCAACTAAAAATTTATGGTAAAAACAATTCTAAACAATAAAAAAAATACAAACTTTCGAGTTTTAAATTAATAATATAATTCTCGACAAGAAAATTTTTTCCAGTTTTATACAGGGTGTTAAAAAAGATTGTAAAATATTTCAGGAGGTAATAGTATGGACCAAAACAAACGAAAAAGTTATATGTTTTTTTGGAACATTTATTTGCAATCTATTCAAAGAAAAAAGAGAAGTTTCTAGTAAAAATTCTAAAAATTTTCAAATTCGATATCTCCGAAACCGTAACTTGTAAAAAAATTGTTTATTTTGGTCCATACTGTTACCTCTTTAAATATTTTACAATTTTACAATCGTTTTTTAACACCCTGTATAACTGAATTAATATACATTTCATAAAATTGTATTTTTTGGAATTTTTAACGAAAAAACAAATAAATATCCCAACAAATCCTGTTTTATTATTATAACGACATAGTTTATAAAGAAATAAAAATTATTTTTCCTATAACTAGTAAAAAGTAAATTTTT